GCACCCAGCACAGGGCTGGATCATAAATAGAATGTGCTTAATAAATACTTGTGGAATGAATGAATGGACCCAATAAAGAAACAGTGTTTATCAGCTCCTTCTTGCTACATTCAGTCAAGCCCTACAAGCAAGATAAAACTCAGAAAAGAACTGGTTAGACTGTTAACAGAGATAGAAAAACATAAAGCATCATTAACAGAGGTCCCCTCTGGCTGTGGGTAGCCATTTAATTGACTGAAAGTCCCATAATTTGTAACCTTGCAGGGCTAAAAAAGCCAAGATCATTTGTATTCCAAATGAAGAATAGGTTAAAATCAGTTGCAAAACAGCTTCAGTGATATATAAGTTTGTGTCTCCTGGGTCTGTCAATACCTTCAGTTAAGAATTCTTACCAGCCCAGAGAAATGAGCCCATGGTACAGGTCACATTAAGAGTAAGGCCTCCTCATTGAGTCTATAGGCTGAATTGCCTCAAGGCAGAGACTGTTAAGCTAAGGGCTAGGGAGAAGGGCAGAGCATAGAGGCCAGTAGAAGACCAGAATCATGAGGCTTAAAGACTATATAAAGATCTTGGTTGGATTACTGAAGACATAAACTTCACCAGGAGCTCTGGTAGCATAGTGCCTAAGGCACTTGACTGCTAACCAGAAGGCTGGTGGTTCAAACCCACCAGCCATTCCTCGGAAGGAAGGCTGGGCAATCCTACTTCTGTAGTGATACTGCCTTGAAAACCCAAGGATGGGTTGCTATGAGTCAGGGCCGACTTGATGACACATAACAACAACAACAACAACAGAAGTAAATAGGCCCCACACCTGCTGAATTTTTTAAAGAACTGCATTGCTGAAGAAACCATAAGCTTAGCTGTCAATAGCCCCTGAGGCTATACACAGACCTTTGGAAGAGCACCAGCAGACAGTGGGCTGCTTAAGCATCTTCCCTTGGTCCACCTCTGAAATGGTCAAGGGTGGCAATATATAATATATTGCCAGAGGGGAAAACCAGGGGCTTACTCCACTCCTGGAATAGGAAGTCCCCACTATGCAAGTTCAACTTGAAGTTGAAATAATTAAAACAAGTCCATGAGAGCCAAAATATGACGTTGATTATATCCCTCCTGAATTTAGAGACTGTCTAAACAACAGATTTGATGCATTGAACACCAATGACAGAAAACCAGAATTGTGGGATGACATCAAGAACATCATCCATGAAGAAAGTAAAAGGTCATTCAAAAGACAGCAAAGGAAGAAAAGACCAAAATGGATGTCAGAAGCAACTCTGAAACTTGCCCTTGAACGAAGAGTGGCTAAAGCAAATGGAAGAAATGACATGATAAAAGAGCTGAACAGAAGATTTCAAAGAGCAGCTTGAATAAACAAAGCCAATTATTATAATGAAATGGGCAAAGACATGGAGTTGGAAAGCCAAAAGGGAAGAACATGCTCGGCATTTCTCAAGCTGAAAAAACTGAAGAAGAAATTTAAGCTTCGAGTTGCAATACTGAAAGATTCTATGGGCAAGATATTGAATGATGCAGGAAACAGCAAAAGAAGATGGAAGGAATATACAAAGTCATTGTACCAAAAAGAATTAGTCAATGTTCATCCATTTCAGGAGGTGGCATAAGATCAGAAACCAATGGTGTTGAAGGAAGAAGTCGAAGCTGCACTGAAGGAACTGGCGAAAAACAAGGCTCCAGGAATTGATGGAATACCCATTAAGATGTTTCAACAAATGCATGCCATGCTGAAGGCACTCACTAGGCTATGCCAAGAGATTTGGAAGACAGCTATCTGGCCAACTGACTGGAAAGGATCCATATTTGTACTCATTCCAAAGAAAGGTGATCCCAGAGAATGTGGAAATTATTGAACAATATCATTAATATCACATGAAAGTAAAATCTTACTGAAGATAATGCAAAAACGGTTGCAGCATATATTGACAGAGAACTTTCAGAGATGCAGACTGGATTCAGAAGAGGACGTGGAACAAGGGACATCATTGCTGATGTCAGATGGATTTTGGCTGAAAGCAAAGAATACCAGAAAGATGTTTACTTGTGTTTTATTGACTCTGCAAAAGCATTCGATTGTGTGAATCATAACAAACTGTGGGTAACATTGAGAAGAATGGGAATTCCAGAACACTTCACTGTACTCATGGGAACCTGTACATAGACCAGAAGGTAGTTGTTCCGAACAGAACAAGGGGACACTACTTGGTTTAAAATCAAGAAGGGAGTGTGTCAGGGTTGTATCCTTTCACCATACTTATACAATCTGTATGCTGAGCAAATAATCTGAGAAGCAGGACTATATGAAGAAGAACGTGGCATCAGGATTGGAGGAAGAAGACTCATTAACAACCTGCGATATGCTGATGACATAACTGTGCTTGCTGAAAGTGAGGATGACTTGAAGCACTTACTGATGAAGATTGAAGACTGCAGTATGGATTACACCTCAATATAAAGAAAACAAAAATCCTCACAGCTGGATTTATAAGCAGCATCATGACAAATAGAGAAAAGATCGAAGTTGTGAAAGACTTCATATTACTTGGTTCTACGATCAACACCAATGGAAGCAGAAGTCAAGATATCAGATGACTTATTGCATTGGGCAAATCTGTTGCAAAAGACCTTTTTCAGGTGCTGAAGAGTAAAGATGTCTTCTTGAAGACTATGGTGCACCTGACACAAGCCATAGTATTTTCAATTACCTCATATGCATGTGAGACCTGGACAATGAATAAGAAGACTAAAGAAGAGTCAATGCTTTTGAGTTGTGGTGAAAAACGCTGAAAGTACTATGGAGTGCTAAAAGAACTAACAAATCTGTCCTGGAAGAAGTGCAGCTGGAATTCGTTCCTTGGAAGCAAGAATGGCCAGACTTTTGTTCTGTTCAAACAACTCACCTACTTTAGTCATGTCATGAGAAGGGACCATTCCCTGGAGAAGGATGTTATGCTTGGTAAAGTGGAGGGTCAAAGAAAAAGGGGAAGGCCCTTAACAAGATGGATTGACACGGTGGATACAACAATGGGCTCAGGTATAGCAAGGATTGTGGAGCTGGCACAGGACCCCGGGCAGTTTTTCGTTCTGTACATAGGGTTGCTATGTGTCAGTGACGACTCGATGGCACCTAACAACACCACTATTCCTGTCCAGCAGGATGTGATAACTTGGCCAATGACTGCAGTAACTGTGGTGTTTTCCTTCTCCCTTTAAGAACTGTAGTGCCTAAGGCACTTGACTGCTAACCAGAAGGCTGGCAGTTCAAAACCCACCAGCCACTCCTCAGAAGGAAGATGGGGCAATCTACTTCCAGAGTGATACTGCCTCGGAAACCCAAGGAGGGGTTGAGTCCAACCCAACTCGATGGTAGTAAGTTTGGCTTTCTGGTTTCAGAACTGGAGTTTTTACTGCAGATTTCCTGTTTCTTCTCCTATCATTACATAGTGTGTGCGCTGGGAACATATCTTGCCTTTAAGCCTTGGCTTCAAATGGGTTCATTTTGTTTTGATCCCCTGCTGATAATTTGCACTTCCACCCTAAATGTGCCTGATCAGAATCTATGGTTTAACAACATTGCCAAGTGATTCTTATATAACTCTGGGTGATTCTTGTTAAAATGTAGATTCTGATGCAGTATATCTGGGGTGGAAATGTAAATTATCAGCAGGGGAACTGGAGTGAACCTGTTGGAAGCCCTGCTTTAACCTTTCAGACAGAGAGGACTACTTGGACTTGAGACTAATGATGAGACTAGATGAAACTTTGAAACTAATGAGAGCAGATGAAATATCTTCCTTGGGAAGATGGTGCATGTGTCATAATGTTTTGGGATAAAAGATGTATATAGATATTGGGTAGGCAGCAGTGTCTGCCACAGGACTGAAAGGAGAACACTCACTGGATTTGGAAAAGAGGATAATGATGATCTTGGTGAGAGTGGTTTAACTAGGGTGGAGCAGGGAGTGCAGAGAAGCCAGTCACAACGGTGTCAGAAGCAAATACAAGTTGTGGATGTTTAAGGCTGTTATTGAAGGAGCCAAGCTGGTCATAACTTTCCTGGTTATGACCACTCAAAGACTTCTTCATGGGAATTCATTTATCTATTGTCTATATTCAATATTTACCTCAGGCATCACCTGTGCTCTCTCTGGGGCAAGGAGATGACTTCCAGACCCTTTGGTTTCTGGAAACCAAGACTATCAGAGTTGTCTTCACAGTAAAGGATCAGGCCACATATTTTAAAAGATAAAGATTATGAACTACATATTAATGGACCAAACAAAATCAAGCTGCCTTCCTAGGTAACAGCCTACCACTACCACCACCTATGATTATTACTAAACTTCTCAGCCTCCTTTGGCGAGATCTAAAACCAGAATGTTTTCATTGTGTAAAGAAGAAAGGAGACAATACAGCAAGTAAGTATGCAATATTTCTTTTTTTTACAACTGTAAAGAGTCATGGGAGCTACAATAGAACCCCCATGGCTGAGAAGGCCCTTAAAATGTTATTTACTTCACCTGCTAGATGATACCCAATTTATTCACTATCTGGCTGCCGGAAATGAAGAGGACAGACAAGACTAACTTCATTAAATTCAGGAAATTAAGAGATGAGGATGGTTCAGTGGTGTTGATAGTAATTTTGGTGAAAGATAAGTAAGCAAAAAAAAAAAAAAAAACCACTAAAACACTCCAAGGAAGGTGCTCTGTGCAGCTAGGAAACAGAAATTCAGAAAGAAGAAAAACAGTGAACTAGATCTTATTGTTCACACTTTCATCAAGATAAAACCCACAATCAATAAAAGCTTTGAAGGAAAAATAAAAAATATGACCCTTTCCAAATGACTTCACCTCTAAATCTCCATTGCAAATGATTTCCTCCCCAGAGCAACAAATGTTATTAGTGTTGAATCATCTGTTGCTGTCTGTGCCCCAGTTCCCACACATGGAGCCGTGATCATGAGGGGCAACACCTACCGCAGGGCCCTGAGTACATTCTTTGAAAGCCAACTCTGCAGACCAAATTGCAGAACTGGTGTGGGACTTGTTGAAACAACCTGTGGCTTACAGGGTCCTTCCGTGCTTTCCCTTCCATCATTTTCTTCTTGGTTTGGAAGACAGCCTTCAGAACCTCATTGTTTATCTTCTCCACCTGTTACCCAAGGAAATGAAAAACTGGTTAAAAGACTGGAGAACTGAGACTTAAATGGCCTGTTACACTGCTTCAAAAGTAATAGTGCTTACATGCACATTACTTTGCACACAATTTGCTTTTCATATAAAGTCCTAAAGAACTCTCTCCTCACCCCAATCTTCTCCTGGTTTGGCTTCTGTCTCTTCAAAGCTTCCTGTCTCTTCTCTGAAAAATTCGTTTAATAAAAATTCACTGAGCAATCACTATGTAACCAAAACCCAAACCCACTGCCATCGAGTCGATTCCAACTCACACAACCCCCCCCACACACACACACAGGCTTTCCAAGGCTGTGAATCTTCACAGAAGCAGACTGCCTCATCTTTCTCCCACGGAGCAGTTGGTGGGTTTGAACTGCTTACCTTTTGGCTAGCAGCCAAATGCCTTAATCGCAGTGCCACCAGAGCGTCTTCAGTACCTACCTGGCAGTGGTAATTAAATCATCAACAATATAGACAGAGTCTTTGCCCTCCCAGAACTCAGTGAAGAATTAAAACTAGGCAATTATAATGCAATCTGATAAATACTATTTCATTTGTTTTATTTTGCTCCAAGATAGGCAGATAGCTCTTTCCTGGGCCTTTTATCTACACTACTGTATATCTAACATTATTTCTACTTTCTGATTCCACCTCTACCCCTCATGCCTGCCCTTCCTTGCCCTCCTTCCAGTCTTATTCCTAGGATTCTAGGCCAATGAGCAGCTAGCTCAGAGTTATCAGCAGGTGAGGTTTTTTTTTAGCCACAGAACCAAGTTAATCAACAGAAAGATGAATCATGCCCTCCCCTTAATTAGGTATACCTTTATGACCTGAAAACCACATTTCTCAAACTGTTTCTTTTTATCCTGAAGTGCTTGCATTGAAAATGTTTCACGAAATTTTGTGAAATTGATATTTCTTTTCATTTCATCCTGGTTTTCTGGTTGCTGGTCAGTCCACTGTCCTAAAAATGATTAACACAAAAGTTTGCCTTAATTTGTTTTTTCTTTTTTCGTTCCTTTAAAAATATTTTTATTATATTTTAACAGCTAATAATAGAATATCATTTTTAAAACAATTTATAATGCTCAATTTCACATTTAATCAAAGAAGTACAGATTAAAGTAAGACCATTTTTGCTTATCAAATTAGGTTTTTTGAAACTCACATTCAGGATAGGCATATAAATTGGTATAATCTTCCTACAAAACAATATAAAGTTTGTCTTAATATTCTGTGAGAAGGGAAAGATTTGAAAGGATATCTGATGAAACAAATTTGAGAAATTTGGAGGAAGAAATTAGCCAGTTTAAATTGTATGCCTCACACAGCTTAGGACATGCAAGGAGAACTACCACACTGTGAGAAATCATAGGATAAAATAAAACAACCAAACCCACTGCCATCAAGTTGATTCCAACAACTACAGGACAGAGTAGAACTACCCTATAGCCTTTCCAAGGCTGTAAATCTTTATGGACGCAGACTGCCACATCTTTATTCCACCATCGACCTTTTAGCAGCTGAATATCTTAACCAGTGCATCACCAGGGGAGTAATTAGGTCTCAGATGATTTGGATTATGAGGCTGAGGGCATGTGAGGAAAAGAAGTATTATTAATACATCCCTCACATGCTGTAATGATGACATAGAATTGTGTTGCTCACTCATAATGTTTGATTTCCACCCCAGCTGTCTATCAGTAAAAAGAGACAAGTATAAGAAAGCATTAAGGAATGATGGAAAATAATATGACATTTATTTAACACTGAAAGGTATTCAATGAGATTTCACACTAGTATTTCATTTGATCATTACACCACCACTACTGAAATAACTAACACAATTTTACAACTAAGTGAAACTTGGAGAAGTTGAGTGACTTGCCCAATGTTATAAAGCTAGTAAGTAGATACAAAAGTGTAAGTCTGGCTTTCACCAGTGCTTTCTGTAAGGGGCAAGGCAGAATACTTGGTACATAGATCACTCAGCAGGCAGAATACTTAGTACTTAATTCCTCATAAGATACAATAGCTCCCAAACACCTTGAGGGAGAGAGTCACCAGATCTGCGGGCTGGGAACCATAATCTTGGGGGCCACCATGTTCAATTGACACAGCATAGAACATAAAAATACTGTTCTACATCCTACTTTAGTGAGTAGTGACTGGGGTCTTAAAAGCCATCGAGCAGCCATCTAAGATGCAATTATTGGTTTCCCTTGTCTGGAGCAAGGAAGTGTGAAGAAAATCAAAGTCATCTGGAAACAATAAGTCCAAAGATATGCTGGACCACAGGGACTTCAGCCTTTATGACCCCAAGGCCAGAAGATCTAGATGGTGCCTGGCTATCAATGCCAACAACTCAGAAAGGGATCAAAATTGGAGATCCTTGATAGAGTGGGAGAAAAATGTAGAACAAAATTGAAACACACAAAAAACGACCAGAGTTACTGTTGGATAGAGACTGATAGAATCCCTAAGACTACGACCCCGAGTTATTTTTCAGGCCTGGAACTGGACTCACTTCTGTGGATGAGCTCTCAGCCAAACAGTAGAAGGACCTACAATCACAACACCTACCCCAAGGGCACACACCCACCTACCCTAGGAATATGCACCCCTTAGATCAATCAACCTTGAGACATCAGAGGGGTAGCATTCACATAGAGGGAAAGCTGGACAGACAGGAATGCATAGAAAGAAGGGCACAGGGAGAGGGCAGTCACAGAGAGGAGATGGGAGGAGAGCTCTTTATGGTTGGGGACTGTAATCAGGGCCATGAAATCAAATGTGCGTGAACCATTGTGTGTAAAATGAATCTGCTTTGTAAATTTGTACCTGCATCACAATAAAAAAAAAAAAAGATACAATAGCTGCAACAATGGGCTCAAACATAGCAGTTGTGAGGATGGTGCAGCACCAGGCAATATTTTATTGTTATACATAAGGTCACCATGTGTTGGAGCCAAGTCAGTGGCAACTAGTAACAACAACAATATCATTCATATACCACCCAACCAAGAAAAGCAAAGTTTGGAGACTAAGAGTCTATGGTGTCTTGTCTTCCCTTCTTCCCTTCCTCCCTCCGTCCCTTCCTTTCATTTCAAAATACAAGGTACAACCTGTTCTTGTCAAGGGAGCTCCTTATTAGACCAAATTATGGGTGGTAAATGGAAACAAAAAAGGGGAGGGGGCTTGTTTCTCTGTTTATTTTCAGTTTGACTTAAGACCAAATATACTAAAATGAATCAATCCCTAGAACATTATCTAATTGAGTGGACTCTCTTTATTATGAAAAGCAAGTGATAAATCCAAAGAAACTCACTAGAGGGCCAAGTTATAAATATGAGGAAAGGAACTTCAGAGGCAGAGACTGTGTATTAAATCTGGAGAGCAATAGCTCATATTTGTAAAGTATATGAGTTTACTTCAACTGAGTTCAGCAAATGTTTACTGAGCTCTTCCTACATGTCAGGCACTGGGCTAAGTACTGAGAACCTAGACATCCACAAACTCCTGCTGTCAGAGGCACTCACCAGGCTGGATCAAAAGAGCAATAGAAAAGGCAGGTGAAGACTAATTTCTATTTTTAAAATTTATTGTTCTGATGGACATTTGATTTTTCCTATAGTAAAACTTCATTTCAAAATTAACCATTTTGTTAATGAAGATCTTAATCAGATTAAGGAGTGAGTTGGGAGCTCTGGTGGCATATAGTGCCTAAGGCATTTGACTGCTAACCAGAAGGCTGATGGTTCAAACCCACTAGCCACTCCTTGGAAGGAAGGTTGGGCAATCTACTGCAGTAGTGATACTAGCTCAGAAACCCAAGGAAGGGTCACTATGAGTTGGATCCAACTCCAAGGCAGTGAGTTTGGTTTGGTGTTCCTCTGAAATGCTGCTGTAGAATAACATGCTTAGTCACCAACATTCAAAAATGCCACCTTGTGGCAGAACAAGGGACTTACATGATTCTACACTGCCATCAGCTAGAAGACTGGGTCACCCTTATGAATGCAAGTAATTTAAAAAGTACAGTAACAGTTGGGCAATCTACTACCGTAGTGATACCACCTCAGAAACCCAAGGAAGGGTCGCTAAGAGTTGGGTCCAACTTGAAGGCACATAACAACAACAACAACAACGTCATAAGCTTTAAAGGAGATCAATGTTTCCTTGTTTTCTGTTATCCTGAGAAGTACTGGTGTCAATTTAAATATCCACATTCATAACAGTTCAAAAGCTAAGTGGAAATTATCATCTGGGGTCTCATTCTTGCATATTATTATTTTTGTCCATGTTTGTGGACACTGGGTTTTCCATGGAGTGCCGATGCTACTTTTATTGCAAACTCCCCCTCACTTTGACCATTTCTATCTCAATTGTTTTTCACAAACATATGGTGAAAATAAAATGTCCTTTGAAATTCTGCATCTGAAGTTTTGTACCTCCTACTAAATCCATTCTCCACATTACAACCAGAGTGGCCTCTCTAAAATGTAAGTCTGATCTTACCTTGTTTTTGTTTAAAATCCTTTAAGACTCCTTATATTTTTCAAGAACATTTCTGAAATCTTTCATGAGATTTATAAAGTCTTGTCTAATCTAGGCCCTGCTACAGTCTTATTTCTCTAAACTTTCTTTGCCTGGCTAATTTCTACTCATTTTTCACTGTTTGACACTATGACACCTCCTCTGAGAAGCTGTCTCCTGACCCTCACAGGTGGGTTAGGTGTCTTCCCAGTGTGCTCACATAGCACTTTGACCCCCCTCAGTGATAAATAGTCTGCTTGCTTGTCAGGCTCCCTAATCATCCTTTGAGCAGAGACAAGATCTTATCTTGTTCATCACTGTATACCCAGCACCTACCACAATGCGGCACATATCATGGGTGTAATACCCCTTAGTTGAATAAATGAGTGCAGTAAGTCTCTATCTATCTCCCAGGGTGGCATTATAAATGGTATAATTTCCTAGTTAGCACTAGGGTTATGTTGAAAGGCTACCTCTATAGTCCGATTCCTAGAGTCTTCATAATGGGTTTAGCCAGAGAAGGAATACCCAGTAAAGCAAGGTAAGCATGGGCTTACTTGTGATTACTTATTAATCTGCAGTGAACAGTTTGAAATAGTTTGAAACTGTCACTGAATATTAATAAGTAAGCACAAGAAAGCCCTTGCTTATTGGGCACTCCATCCCTGTCCAGGATTATAAATTGGAAAACAGGCTTTGTCTCTAGGAAGGTGCTGTGGGGTTGGGGACAGAAAGATCTTTGATGAGGTGAAAAAAATGTGAAACTGTTCACCACAGATTAGTAAATAAGCACAAGTAAATGGGTGCTTATCTTGATTACTGGGTAATCCAACACTGGGTTTAGCTCCACTAAACTTACAGTGGATTATACTTGAGTGTACCTCACAGTACCAATGAATAATTTACTTCGGTGGGAGGGCTCAAAAGTAAATAACTTTAGGGAGACTTCCAGTAAGATGGCACAATAGGCAGACAAGGTACACAAGCTCATTTCCAACAAAGAAATAAGAAATCAATTGAAACTGATACAGAAGACAATCCTGGAACCCTGAGCTTTGAAGGGAAGGATAAAGAAATGGATTAAATACCAACTAGTAGAAGATCTGAATGAAAACAGTGAATAAAGAGAGAAATGGAGCTATGGAGTGCCGTCTGTCCTGAGAGCGCAGTCATTTTGAATATTTGCAAGTTGCTTCCCGGCAGCAATCTAAGAACTGGCTCTGCTCACCAAGGACCACACAGGCAAGGAATGCTCTGGTGCTTGATAACTAGAAAGGAAAAAGAGCTGTGGACTGCCAGCTGTCCAAGGGTACAGCCATTTTGAATATTTGCAAGCAGCTTCCTGATCTAGCAGTAACCTAAGAATAGGCTCTGCTCACTAAGGACTGCATGGGGAAGTACTGCACTGGAGCCTGACAAATAGAAAGG